TTTAAAGTGCTAAAATTCTGTAGTTGGCTTGCAGCCAGACTCAGTCAAACAGGAAATCCAGCATACAAATCTGCAATGTAAGTTCAAAAAGTAATGTTCTCCCAACCCACCCCCACTACCACAGTCAATACTGTTCCAACCAAAAGTCTTCTGAGTGACTCCGTTATCTGTTTCCTTCCCCAGCGGAAAAGCCACCCCCCTCCCGGCTTGTTTTGCTGCAGATGGGAAACAACTAGAGATAAACAGCAGTTCTATGGGAAAAAAAAGCACTTCAAGTAATCTCATCAGGATTTTTAGTAAAGTTGTGGCCTCTGTGAAGTCTTGAGACAATATACAATAAAATTATCTGAAATTGATTGATGTACTTAAATTAATTCAGGGAAATTGAGCCATGCATTTCAAAGTCTTGTCATCACTACAGAAAAGAAATGAAATCAGATGAAAATGTTCAATATTTTCATAAATAAATTTAAAAGAATATGTGCCTTCTACAGCTCTTGTCAACCTGTATTGTGCATTGTGAGCTCAAGAATCCTGATGGCAAAGAGAGCAATTTTCTGGCTATTTTTAGTAGAATTGTTTATGAGAAATAGTCTGGGAAGCCAACTGTCTTCTTCTAGGTATTTTACTGGAATACTGAAACTGAATTCAGACATTGTTACAAGTATCTATCCAAAAAGGGAAAAGTCACCACAGTCAGCTCTGGAGACTATTCTTATAATAAGGTTAATTTCTATAGGGATACTTCTAACTATTATATGGCACAAATAACCTCGTGGTTTTGCCCAGTCATTTAGAGAACAGACTAAATATTCCACCCCAGTTCTTGGCTAGTGTAGAACAAGACTCCTCTAAGGGCAAGGAGAACATATGTAGCACATTGGGACACTTTGCTTCAAGAAGTCCAAGTTTGATTAAGCTGTTACAGACAAAATCTATCCAAGTAAACTTTGGGGTTTTCACACATCATCATCTTCACAAAAGCAGCATGCATCAAAATTTAAAACTCACCATCCTATGCAAACTCAGTCTTTTTGGAACATTATGATTTCTTCACCCTTTACTCTGGAGATCCTACATTTATAACTCCCATATCAAGCCATGCTAATACAAAATAAGAATGCTGGAAAATAATTTTCTCAGTGACATTTCTATTCTGGAGTCCTCTGACTCTTGCAGAACTGTAAAACTAACTGTATAAATTCTACAGGAATGTGCTTCCACCTCTGCTGCCTCTGTTATGTGTTTGTCTGTTCTTAATGTCTGTTCCTGTCTAAACTGCAGCAATGGACCCTAAGCAGACACATATTTTCACTCAAGAGCTCTGGCAACTGGCTCCAGAGATCTGTCAGTTTGGAAAGCTCTCAATCCCAGTCCCTCTACCCCACTCAGCCATTGCCACAGAACTGGGAAAGGAGATAAAGCCTCTTGCATGACTGGCTGCTCATCTGAGCAGGCTTCAGGCAAAGGGCTTGTGAAGGAAAAAAGTCCTTCTAGCAAAACTACCTTTATCTGGGGACCTGTAAGGAAGCCTTAGTGCTCTTCCCTGGTGGATAATTGCTCCATCAGATAGAATATGGAGATGTTAAGCTATTTAGGACAATAATTGGCCTTAAGTAATACAAAAGCAAGAGAGAAAAAGCTTAGTAATTTCATCAAAAACTGGGCATTTGGAAAAACTTTTAAATATTGAAAATATTCCTACAGTGGGAATTAAGCTTTAGGACACAACACAACATCAGAGTTACTCTGTGTAACTGGTATTCCTGAACCCATGTCGCTCTGCCAAGAGAGCCTCAAAAAATATACTGCAAGACAGTGGGATGTAGACTGTTGTTAATATTTATAACTGTCCCTTACAGGTACCTGTGAGTGTTCACTGGTCCAAATGGCTCCTGCTCAAAATTCCTCCTGCCTAAGGTTTTATGATTTTCTTCACACTTAAAAAAAAATTATTATTTAACACGTAATGGATTCCCTGTGAAAGTGTGTATGAATTGAAAATGGGTTCTGAAAGGAAAAGGGATTACACAAAGCCTTCTCATGTACCAGACTAAGTAAGATGGGTCTCTTGATTTATATCATTACCCTCCTTCCTGCCAATATTAAACCACAAGGAGATTAAGCAGATCAACTCAGCTGCAGGAGGTACAAGCATCTCCTTTCCTCTTGATTTTCTGCCTTCATAAGCAAATTACTATCATCCTTTGAACAGTGTACTGCAAAGCAGTATCAGCATGTATCATCCTTATAAGACCTAAATGAAGATGTAGACATCCAAATTCTTTATAAGCATATCACAAATAGCATGCTCTGCTCCCAATGCTCTGAAATACAAAATAAACACAGGAAGTTGTATCATCCTGATTCCACAGAGAGCGAACTGAGCCATCTCAGAGGAAAATTTAAAAAAAAAAATGTCTCTCACAAAAGAAAACCTAATCTCCCCCTTGTTTCTCTACCATGTGCCTCAGGACAAACTGAACTTAGAGACTGACACTGGAAATGAAGGGAAAATATTTTATTCGCACCAGCAAACCATTATTGTATGGATCAGTGATTTCTACAACTCAGTGTGTTCCACATGGCCACATTCTCTCCAAATAAAACTTGTTCATTTATAACTCAGCTGAACCATAATGTAACTACCAGATTTCTCGACAAAATCAAAGAGTAACTGTGTCCTTGCAACTGTGTTAACAACCTAAAAGCAATCCAGGGTATATTAAGCTCTTTTTAACATCAGAGTGGGGAAAGAGCAGTAAAGAGCTACTCCTTCCACAAGAACCTGTTTCCTCATTTGTCCTCAGACAAAGAAATGCCTCACTCCAAACCCTCTCTGGACCTGCCAGCTGTGGGACAGTGCTACCTCAAGAAGAGAAGGTGCAGCAAGCAACTGTTATAAAGCACCTTTTAGGTAGACACAGGAGAGCTAAGGATGCCAGACATTTCCTGAAGGAATATTCATTCAGTGTTTGTGTTATGAGGGGGATTCGGCCTTCATTTTACTGACTCTCAGAATAGTATAAGTGTCACACCTTTAAGTAATTATTGATTTTTTTTCCTCCTACTTGTATGTCAGTTCCCACCTCTGTGTTTTTATCTGTATGCAACTTGTGCTGGCTTCACTGCATTACTAGTACTCTCTATGAAAAAACATGGTAAAATGCACACTGAGCATGTGCTCTCTCATAGAAAATCAAGAACCAGGGACAGGGATAACACCATTGCCATGTATCCATGGGGACCGTGTTTGTACAGGCAGAGTGGCCAGCTGAGAAAACAGCATGCACTGACTGAGACTTGCTTTTCACTTCTCCTTACCCATGAACTTAGGAAGATGGTGTCCAGATATGTTTTGGTAGTTCATGGATATTTATTTATTCCAGTCTTCCTTCATGAAGGGGTTGTTTTGGCAATGACATTGCTTTGTTATGGTGGTGGTTAAGGAAGTGTGTAGGATAACAAAGAGAAAATATTTTTTTTGTTAGTGAGGCATATTTGCCTCTTTGTGTTTGTTTCTATCTAATTATATCAATGAATTTCTTTTAAAAAATGGAAAGTAGTTTTAAAACATGGAAAGTACCTGACAATAGGTACAGGAAGAAAGACTAGGCTGGAGCCCCTCTGCTCTGGAGCCAGGCTAGGAGAGCTGGGGATGTTCAGCCTGGAGAAGGCTCCAGGGGGACCTCAGAGGCCCTTCCAGGGCCTAAAGGGGCTCCAAGAGAGCTGGAGAAGTACTTGGGATGAGGGATGGACCGGACACAGGGAATGGCTTCCCACTGCCTGAGGTCAGGGAGAGATGGGATATTGGGAAGGAATGTTCCCTGTGAGGGTGGGGAGGCCCTTGCACAGAGAAGATGTGGCTGCCCCTGGATCCCTGGCAGTGTCCAAGGCCAGGCTGGACAGGGCTTGGAGCAACCGGGGATAGTGGAAAGTGTCCCTGGACATGGAAAGGGGGGGAATGCAATGAGCTTTAAGGTTCCTTCCAACCCAAACCATCCTGGGATTATATGGTTCTCTGATAACACAATAAACAGAGGGCAGAAAAGTAATCGTGGTTATCAATGCATTCTTCAGGGAATAGGCAGGTGTCAAGGAACATAAAAAAGGAGGTGTAAAGGGATACAGATTGCCCCTTGAGCTAACATGGGTCTCCTGCATGACTAGAACAGTCACCCCACCTAATTTCTGAAGTAACATTGCTGTCATCCATACAGTAATGTAACCACCAAAGAGAACGAGAAATTTTCCTTTTTTACAGTTTTTTTGCAAATCACATTGTGACAACTGGATGGAAATACTAGACAAGTGCACTGTTATTACTCGAACTTAGTACCGTGCATAAGGTTCCGAGGACAATAGAAATTTTGCCTTCAGTAGCTTCTGGAGGCATGACATTACTTCTACCTCATAACACATTTTTCCAGCAAGAAATAGTAGGACCACAAAGTTCTGTTTATTTCACCTTCCTCTTTTTTTAAAGTTTCTGTACATTGTTTTTTATTATTTCTGTAAGCTATTTAGCCACTCATGATCTTTGCAGTTTACATAGTGGCCTGCCTTAATAAACATTTGAAAATTTCAGAATAAGTGTACATACTGTGAATAAAATATTTTAAAAATTATTATCATCATCATTAATACAGCTGTTTTCTCTTTTGGCAATGGAAGTAAGAAAAAGGACATCTTGTAAGTGATTCAAATGCATTGAGGAAAAAAACCCAATGTGAAATACAACTCAGTGGGTGTAAGAAATTTAAATCAGAGTGAACAGATTTAAACTTAATACTGAGCCTCTGTTTAAGGTGCTCTTCTTTACATGTATCATGAGGCCCAAATATGCCTTCAAAAACACATCCAGCATATCATAATGGGGATGGAAAGGCTCTACAGACTTATGAACAGTGTGTGTGTAAAAGTTGATATATCAATGGCATTTTGCTACTACAGAAATTCAAGAGACCTCATTAAAAATAACTGTGCCATTCTGTTTGCAGGTTTTGTTCTGGTTATTGGACTGGTGACATTCTACCGTATTGGACCATACACCAACCTCTCGTGGTCCTGCTACCTGAACATCGGAGCCTGCCTTTTGGCCACGCTGGCAGCTGCCATTCTAATCTGGAACATCCTGCACAGGCGTGAGGACTGCATGGCACCCCGGGTCATCGTCATCAGCCGCACCCTCACCGCACGCTTTCGCCGGGGCTTGGAAAACGACTATGTTGAGTCACCTTGCTGAAAGAGCGCACTTGAAAGGGGAAAGATCTCCAAGGAGATCTGCATTGGCATTATATTCTATAAACATGTGCTATAATTTAAGGGTTGAAAGACATTACAACATTCACTTGTGTGAGCAGAGGCCCTTGATTATTATTCGGCTGGGCTCCATCTATATACATATGTATAAAACACATAATTTTATATATATATATAAATATTATATTGCCCTCTCCTTCTGCTGTACAGCACAGAATTGCTGGGTTCATGGCAGCAGGGTCAGCTGGAGAAAATACCAAGTGTGTGCAATGAGAATACAGGAAAGAGGGAACCAAACACATTTTCTCTGTCTACATCAAGTTCTCCTGCTCCCTAAAAATAAACCAAAAAGCTATAGGAGACCAGTGACAATAGCTTGGGAGTTAACAGGCACTCTGAGAAAGCAGAAAACTCACTATAGATTAAGTGATGGGTTTAAAAGCTGTCTAAATTTCATGACTTCTATTCACCTTCTATTCACCTCTCTACAAGGAATGCATTCTCATTAGCTGCAACACCTGCTCCCAGCCCCAGAACAGAACGTAAAAAGCAAAAGCAACCCTAACTATTCTTATGTAAAGAGAGGGATTGCAGAAGAATTAAGTTCATTTTTTTCCAGACATTTCTTTTGTATCCTGAGACACAGGTTTGCTAATGTCCTATGTGTAAACAGACATGAAAAATTAGAAGGGTATGTAGCTAGAACAGGACACACATGCTGCTGAAAAAATGTATCAATGTTACATTGAGGGCAAATGTCCACAGGAGGCTACCAGAACTCCCTAATAATCAGATATATAATTAAATTACATTGTTGGGAACTATTACAAGAAAGAAATATTCCCGACCAAATTGGTTTCTTTTCTCTCCAGCTAGTTATAACATTTGCTGTGACATTAGAATGCTATGGCAGCTCTGCTCAGAGCCACATAACACAGGGAATATTGGAGAATAGAGCTGCCACTCAAGTACCCAAACTGGAGAATAGGACAAATATACAGGACTTCGGGATTTTCAGATTTAAAAACAACCTGCCTAATAACTTAAAATGATAATGAAGTGAAAAATTAATGCCTTTAGAATTAGGTACAATGTTTATAAGCCTTACCGTGAGAAGAACATGGCTTTACAAAAGTAATGTGCATATAATTTTCAGAAAGAAAAATAACACATCAAAAACTATTAAGCAGGGATACAGGAACCTGAGGCAATGATAGGTGTGTAAGTGCTCTCAGAATGCTGCTCTGAGCACAATTAGTGATAGGTTTGAGCTGTGAATGTTACAAATACCTAAGGACTTCTGTGTTGCTCCCAGCTGAGTACACTGCCTTGCTTCTTTATCACCACTTCCACACTTTGTTAAAATGTGATGATCAAGCTGGCTCTTGAGTTCTGCACTCAGCTTTGGATGTGATAAGAAACTCAACCCTGACTGCTGCTTTGCACCACATTCCAAATGAGCAACAGAGACTGATGCTAAAGAATAACTGCACTGCTCTAGACTGTCAGGGGAAATACCACAAAGCTGACAAAGAGTTTCTTCTAGCAGTAGGTTTGTAAAAACCAACTAAGATTAGCACTCATCTGTCTGCATTAATTTTCTGGAAAAAAATAATTCTAGAAATAATATGCTATGATTAAATGCAGCAGTTTTAAAAATAAAATATGAGAGTATTTAAGAGACATTTTATTATTTCCTCTAATATTGCAATATCCGTATTATAATAATGTACATGTGAATTTAAAAATCAGCTATGTGGTTGGTAAATCTGTAACACTCGGTATTCCTGTGATTATTTTTGATGTATAAATAAAATTATGAGTGTTATTTTCTTCTAGTGATGACATTTTTGCCATTGAGACACAGGATTAAGGTTGCAGGTTATCAGTAATTCTTTCTCTTTTACTAAAAAAGAATCCACAATGTATTAAAGACAGAGAATGAGCAGAGATTGTATTAAAATGTCTGTGAGATAAAGATGTTTCATCTGGTTAAAAATTAAAGGGAGAATAAAATCAGAGAAGGAAAAGGTAAGGAGAATCTAGGAGGATCTACACTTCATACAAACTTTTAACAAAAATAAACTGCACCCATGAAGAAATACATACAAATAGTTCTGATACCTTTTTATCAGCTTGATGGATTTGAAGGCCTCATCCATGTCTCCAGCAGTCAGATAGAAGCTGAAGTTCAGCATGGCATCCTGGGTGGTCTTATCACAGTCTCCCAATCCAATGAAATCTCTCATGGGTCTTCTTGCAACCATCTGAGAGACTGTTCCTGAACCAGACTCTGATGCTCCCTTCTCAGCTTCTCCCAGCTAAAAGGAGAAGGTTGCCATATAGGTATCAAGCAGGTTGAAACTTACTCCTTTGTAATGTAATTAATTACATTATTCCCACCACAGTCCAAACGTTTTATATCTGCAGGCCTATGATCACTAGTGACAACAGTTGCAAAGTTTCAGAACTTCCTAGAAAATGCCACAAAATACGGAATGTCATAGGAGAGATTAGCATATTGCAGTGAACAATCACAGCATGTCAGATTTTAGATAAGCATCTCAAAGTTTAGTCTCTTCTCAAATACTAGTCTGCTATTCTGAAAGTTAACATACACAGATCAAATTCTTCTATCCTCGCCTTCATGTAAATTTTATGAATACTGAAGCTCCGGTTCAAACCCTTCCCCTTACAACGGGCAGTTCTAGAGCTTCAGGGGTACTTTCACCACTCACTGAAAGGCAACTCAAAGCAATTCAACCATTATGCAGAGAACAATAAAGTCTCAATCCTCAATGTCAAATGATCTGTCTGGAGTGTAACAAGGTAACTTTCTCAAGCCAGGCACAGAGGAAGATGATCTGAGTCATGAATGATGCCCAAGTCCATGTACACTCTACCCCAATCATATAGTTACATAAGATAACTAAATTTTAAGGTATACAGAAGCCAATAAAAATTGTATTATATTATAATACAATGGAAGTCCTGGGTACAGTAAAAGACAGAAATCAAAAGTGCAAATCTGTTTGACTAGAATTTGAGGAATTTCTGGAATCAGGACAGGAAAGACATTATAGTGAATAAGGAGAAACCCTGGAATGAAACTTGGTCAACAAGGCTTGTTACATCAACTTGATTTGCTCTATTTAAAGCAGACTCTGCTCTTACACTAAATTAGGTTTCCCAAATTAATACAAGTGATGTAAAAAGTGACTGTCATAAAGAGACAACCACATACCAAGAAAATGGAAACAAGAGAGAGGAGCAGAGGATGAAGGAAGAACAATGCAGATACTTACATGTTTACAGACACATCCCCTCCGAAAACACAACTAATAGCAGCAATAATCCATATAGAGTAAAAAAAAAAAGAAGAAACATAGCATCAAAGTAAAATAGCATGAGAAATTATGGAGAAGGGAGAAGTGTTTAAAAGAAAGATTGGAAAATGCAGCATATCACATTTGACCTTTCAATTTAAGCGAAAAAGAAAAGTAAAACAAAATACAGCACAACTAAAAGCTCTGTCTGCACAGGAAGACCGACAACAGGCAGTGCTTTAAACGGGATGAATTGCAAAGTTCTGCTCTGAATCTAAATATAATAAGTAGATACATTCTCCTTGTCTAATAGTGCTCCCAAGCTACATGAGGATTGGAAGTCTCCTTAATATTAATTTCCTGTAGATTTTACAAAGCTAAACACATTAGTATAGTAAATGGACTCTGTTAAACCCCTTACAAGACAGAACAGAGTAAATCATCATCCTAAGAAGCACCAGGAAACTCAGGTCAGAACTTCACCAGAAACCAATCTGTAGGTGAAAGGCTGCAGCTTGCTCAGTATTATCGGGTATTATTTACCTGAAACGCAAACAATTTTGGATTGAAATTCAAGTTTTTGAAGTTAGAGCCTGCATTCCTGGCATTTGCAGCACACAGGCACTTGCTGATGGTGCAAGATGACTATTCTTGTTCTCATAGGTATTCTTGGAGATTAAGCTTCATTCCAGCAAGGAAGAAGGATGCTTCTGCCAAACCCAGTATGAAACGTCCTGTCTTATGGTCTATCTAAATCTCACACACACCCCCCTCTAGTACTTGCAATAGGCACAGTTAGTAGATAAAACAGAGTTTTATTCACATCCCTTTTTTAATTGCATTACCTGGTAATTCCTGTTTCGCCTACATTTGTACGTCACAGTTTACAATACCCATAAAAAGCCATCTCATTACAAATTCCACAATTCTGCCAAATTAATCTGCAACGGAATTATCTTCATGTCATTTCTACATGTGATGCATCCTTTGCCGTTGGAGTTGCTCTACCTATCCCAGACTCAATTTGGTTAAATTTGATCCTTATACAGTGGAAAGAGTGGATTTCTGGGAAGAGAAGGAACTAGAAATTACCTCACCTTTTTTGCAAAGTAATAATGTGGCACCTCTATGCCCAGAAGGACCTGGTAGGATGAAGGCAATGGAAAGCTGTCCTGCAACAAAAGGCCATGCTCTTCAGTGCTGAAGAATGATATAATCCAAACATCCATCTGGAAAAGGAAGTGAAGCACTGTTTTGTTTTTCTGCTGCAATATCCTTCTCTCTTTTTGTTTTTACTTTCCATATTCACTTGGCAGAAGCTTCTCTTGACAATAGTATGACCTATACATTCAGACACACAGCTGCTGGGAGAGCAGAGTCACACACTTCCTCCCTACAGCAAGCAGCCAGCACCTTGCTCTGCATTGCAGACTACTCCTCCTGCACAGGGACCTCCATCTCTGCCTTAGCAACCAGCTTCACCCACCAAAAAGAGAGAAGCCCCGGCTACAGACGGCTGCTTCAGATCTGGCTCAGGGCCAAGAAACAGAATCACAGAATGGTTTGGGTCAGAAGAGGCCTTAAAAACTATCTAGTTCCAACTCCCTGCCAGGGCAGGGACACCTTCCACTAGACTAGGTGGCTCCCAGCCTGTCCAACCTGGCCTTAAACACTTCCAGGGATGCACATGGCAGCCACAACTATTTTCAACTTTGTTTTCTAAAGACATTATATGATTCCCATTGTAAATATATCAGCTCACAGACTGCTTTGAGTTCCCAGGAAACATATCATCCATTCAAAAACAGTTCCTCTAACAGTTTAAGTATTGGCCTGACTCAAGTTAAAATAGTATTTATTTCCAGCAGATGTTAATCAGACTTCTCATTTACTAAAGCATAAGCAGACACTAAAAAGTTCTGTTGAATAAGGGGCAAAAATTAAGTTGCATTCCTTTTATATCTTTTTATTCAACTTTATTGAGAAGCCAAGTATTTTTAAGCTTTTACCATGAGAAATATTACGTTGAATTGTTCTTCTTCTCTTTCCTAGAAGACCCTAGCCAAGCATTTTGAGACATACCTATCCCATTTCTCCTTTTTACTTTGATCTTCTCATGGTTCTTCTATGGTCATTTTAACCAACAAGAGACACAAAGAGCTTTTTATATCTAATTTTATGAGATTTAGTTAAAATAAGGCACAAATCCAAAAACTTGAGATTAAAATGGATGTTTCAAGTCAATTGAATGTTTATGCAAGAGAGACAGTTCTGTAAAGACAAAGTGGTAAGGAGCACTACAAGCACAATAGCAGGGGAAGAATTGTTTGCATGATGAAAGAAATATTTGATTTGATAATTTCAGATAAATATATATATATAAATATATAGATAAAAATGAAATATTTTCTAATGTAAAAAAATACCATAACAAATAATTTGGGAAGTCCCATAAAAATGTGCAATGTCTCCAGAAAAGCAGAAGATGGGAGGGACTGGGTGGAAGAGCATATTTCCCTATTCACTTTAAGAGTAGCATCCCTGCTATTCTATCAAATTAATTCTTGCTGCCAAAAGTGGACTCAAGATATAAAATCACCAATTTAAGTTACAAAACTTCTAGATTATCAATCCACCCAGTAATTTCACCTGAAAACCTGTAGTCCAGTTACAAACTTGCACTGTGGTCATTCCCAAAATTCTATCACAGCTAAAGAAATACCCTCTTTTTCCTTTTCACTGTATGCAAGTTCGGCCCAAACCATAGAGTTTGTCATAGAGGGACTGCCTGAAGCACAGACACCAAACACAGGGTTCACAACTCATTTTTGCACGTAGTAATGTGTACTACCCACTCCTACATCCTCAATGAAGCACAAAGGATTTATTACTTGGACAGGGAGAATTCCATGTGAAAGAAAACAAAACAAATAAAAAGACCGTACTGTGCCCTCAGTCTGGTTTTTCTTTTGGTCTGGAGGTTGAAGGCCTGATTCAGGAATTGCTTCACATACAAAAAGTCTTGGTTCACTCTGGTCCCAGAAATGGCAAGCAGGGATGTGACTGTGCAACTCTGGATACTCCACTACAAACCTAACAAGAGACAAGAAAAAATGTAGAAAGGGAGACATAGTAATTCCAGCCCATTCAGTGCATGAGTGCAAATAAAGCTCTAGCCAAGGGATCATTCTCAGTTATTTATACTCTGTATTAGAACATTACCCAAATACATTTTCCTGACTCCTAACATTTTACACATGGCAAAGACATTTCTACTTTGGTCTGTTACACTGACAGTGATGACAAGACATAAAGCATTTTGGTAGAAAAAAAAGTTGGCACTGCCTATAAAAATAGGTACTCAAAATCTGCCTCCCCTGGGACTGCAGGTCCTACAGAAACACTTGAACATCCTTCAAACTATCTACCTCAGTGCCTGCTGCTGTAACAGAGGGACTAGCTCAGCTCTGTCTTCAAACCATGGAATCACTAAGATCGGAA